GAGAGAGAGAGAGAGAGAGAGAGGAGGACTACCACCAATGAACGATCAATGGTGGCCATCATCGGTGGTAGTGTTGTACTGTGGTGATGCGGCGGCAGCGTCAGTAGGAAGGCCTTTTACAGAGACAGCATCACTAGTGTGCACTACTGGTTCTACAGTGGCAAGAGCAACAGCCTGATCTGTTGAGCGGCATATTAGACACACTGAATAGTGTAGAGCATCCCGATAGGGGTGTTTTAGCAGTTCTATTCTTTTTAGAAAATAGAATCCACAAGGTCAGTAAGATGATTTGAAGTGTTCAAGTCATTGACTTTGACTGTGAGACAGTGAAAAGTGATAGAAGGGATTTTCTTTCCTCTACACTCGATCTCCTAACAGCCAATACCAGAAATCTGGAGACCACGTGAGGAGAAATTAGAGCCGTACAAAGTCTTTTACTGTGTCTGTGTGTAAAGTGTGGCCCACGTTGGCAAACACTGACACCAGCTCGCTCACTGCTTTATCTTTAGCGCTGCTAATCGGTAGTTTGCTGGATCTCAGCCATCCACCACCGCCACCGCTAATTACCTGTGTGAGTCGTCAAAACACTTGCTATGCATGGGTAATCTGCTGTTGCTGCTGCTTCTGCTTCTGCAGCAGGACATTCTACCACGGCATGACAGTCATTGCCTGCATTGCTGCATGACGACAGCTGCGCCTGCTTCTGCGATGGTTGTCATGTCGTCTCGACGGTGACGTAACCATAAAGAGCCATTGCCTAGCGGAATGTTGCAACAGCAACTGCTGCTGCTGCTCTCTTCTGTAAAGTACCGAAAAGAAGAAGCAACATCAACAGAAGAAGAAGTGGTGGTCGTGGTGGTAGTGTTCAACTCTTCTCTCTCCGTCTGCTTCTGCTGCTTTCACTGGTCTCAGCAGCATCAGTAGTACTAGTGATGACGGTGATGGTCACCGACAGACTGACTGACTGAAAGTGTATGCGAGAGAGAGACAGTAGTTCTGCTGTACGACTGCCCCCTTTTTCATTTTTCTTCCTTCAGCCTGGGCGTCCCTAACTGTTGTGTGTGTGTCAGTGAGTGCTCTGTGCTCAACTCTTTTGTGTTTCGGCCTGGCCAGCTCTGATCTGACACTGCCGGCGACTCTGATGGTGGTGGTGGTGGTGACTCATCATCGTCGTCAGCTTTCACCTCTGCCCAGCCGTAATCATCGTTGCGATTTGTGATCGACGTCAATCGCTGCACGTTGCATCCCCGGCCAATGAGTGTGTTTGTGTTTGTGTGTAATCTGCAGCAGCAACAGTGAAAGACCGATCCGTAGTTAGGTGATACCTCTGAGTGTTTCTCTCTGAGAGTCTCCATTGCCGTGCTGACAGTGCATCCTCACCTGTCGCGCCTGTGTCCCAACACTTTTTTGGCTCCTATTCCTCGTGTTCCACCACTCATCCAAAACATCTTTTTACCTCCTCTTCAACCACAACCACGCACACATCAGATGATCTGAGCAGTCTGAGCTTTGCCACCAAATAGAACACCTCCGTCATCAGAAGATGTACATCACAAATCCGGTAAGTGATGAAATGTACCACCTATTTGAAAGCTAAAACTTACTCAAACTTTTTCCCCAGACCCTGCCGTACTGCGGCCCCATCGGCACGCCGCTGGCGCCCGGTGCGATGATTCGCATCAGCGGCAACGTCTCGCCCTATGCTACCACGTAAGTTTTGTGAACTTTCTCATGTAAACTGTTCCTCTGACCACAATTTTCTCTCTCCCCAGCTTTGCCATAAACCTGCAGTGTGGCCCCAGTGTCAATCCGCGCGACGACGTCGCCCTGCACCTCTCTCCGGTCTTCAGCCCACCGCCGCGCATCGTCCGCAACTCCATCAGCGGCAACCGGTGGGGCGCCGAGGAGAGCTTCGGCGGCTTTCCCCTCTCCGCCGGTAGCTCCTTTGAGTTTCTCATTCTCGTCGAGCCGTCCGAGTTTCGTATTGCTCTTAACGGAGCCCATTTTACCGAGTTCCGCCACCGACTGCCCTTTGAGCGGATCACCCACCTCGCACTGGACGGCGACGCCACCATCACCACCGTCGTCATTGAGCCCAGTCCCTACTCATCGGCCTCTGCCCCGCCCATGGATATGGGCATGCCAATGCCCGGTGCGCCGCCCTATCCGCCGGGAGGCTCCGGAGGAGGCATGCCACCGCCCTACCCTCCTGGCGGCTCCGGAATGGGCGCTCCACCCGGTCTCTATCCGACCCTGGGCGGGGCGGCAATGGGAGCTGCAGCTGGAGCTGCCTCAGCCATGCCCTATCCCCCCGGTCCTCCCGGTGGTCCCTATCCACCACCTGCCTCTGGTCCTCATGGCTATGTGCCGCAGTCGATGCCCCCAGGTGGGGCGTACCCTGGGGCGCCCGGTGGTGGCGCCTATCCCGGCGGACAGTATCCCGGAGCCTATGGCGGCGGTCAGCAGTACCCGCCCCCACCGCCCGGATATCCAGTACGTGTCTTTTACCCAGCCCCGGTCATCGGGTCAGCTCCCCGAGTAGTTAGATACAGCGGAGCTCCTCCCTACAATGGATCTCCCTTCTTTTCCTATCGCTAGTCAACAACGGTAGCAACAGCACACTAACATTCACCAGCTAACCAGCCTGGTAGTCAAACAAACTTCAGTCCGAGCTTTCAATTCCAGCCAATCTTCTAATCTGTTTTTTTCTCTTATCTTTTCCTTGACTACCATTTTGTTTGCATGCCTCTTTTCCCTTTTCCAGTTTGATATCAAATACAAAGTTCTTCTTCTACTCATTTCCCTCACTTTCAGTGCCATTATATTCTATAACTTCTCTTTTCTCTTTTTTCTCTCTATTACCTCTCAGCAAGGAGCAAGCGGCAGCAGCGGAAGCGGAATTGGCGGCAAAATCGGCGCTGGCTTGGGCGCCCTGGGGCTGGGCGCCGCTGCCGGCTCCATTGGTTCTGCACTCGGTTTCGGCAACAAGTCTCCTAAGCACCACGGGCAGTACCCGGGAGGAAGTGGCGTAGGCGGGGCGCTGGGAGGCATTCTCGGCGGTGGCGGCTCTCATGGCAAATCACACGGCTCCAATCCCATTCCCATTGGCAAGATTGCCGTCGGCGCTGGGGCTGCCGCCCTGGGCGCCGCCGTGCTCACCGGTCACCACCCGGTAAGTGCTGTTTGAGCATTTTAAGACAATCTTCTAACACCTTTTTCTTCACTGCCCTTCCTCACCACAGTTCAAGAAGGCGAAGAAGCTCTTCAAGCACAAAGGTTTCAAGCACAAGGGCTTCAAGCACAAAGGCTGGGGTCACAAGGGCTGGAGCCACAAAGGCTGGGGCAGCAGCAGCAGTAGCTCCAGTGAAGAGGAGGAGTGAGGATCCTGCACACTCTGATCTCCCTCCCTTCAACACACACACACTTTGCATCCAATGCAATCGATCCCTCACTTTCAGATCTAATTTTCGAATTTTCCTGTGGGCATTTCGGTATATTCTTTCTCTACGATCTATCTACCCTTCTTCTCACTTCAGCACAATCAACGGAATACTGTTCAAACAAGTAACAATAATAATCCCCGGTGCTACTTTTTCGCAGTTCGAAATGTTGTCATTTAATTTATATACCGTCAGTTGGAAAATAATTGCAATTTTATTTTCTTCGACAACATGCTGTAATTGCTGTTGGTGGTAGTGGTGCCTCTCTCACAGAGGCTAATTTGTTAACAAGGTGTTTAGTGTACAGCTCTTCACAGTGTGTAAATTAATTGATTGGTGCTGGTATGATTTACAAATAATAAAACTTCAACGTGTGTATGTACATTGAACTGTAATTACAAAACTTAAGTTAAGCGGTGTAGGTCGGGAAGAGAAGGGGCGATGGCCTCTTTGCGCCTGTCATCACTCTGTCTTAGGCGTGCTCCCATTGGTCCAGAGGCGTTCGAGAGCATCAGGCATCGACGGCATCGGCAGCTGCGGTTGCTGTCGGCTGGTGGACGGAGTGTTGTTGGTGATGTCGCTGGAGGTGGATGGAGGAGCAGGTCTCGGAACAGGGACGATCTTTTCAAAGACAATCTCAATGTCATCATCAGAGTCATCCTCATTGTTGTCGGCTGGAAAAGGGGGTATTCAGAAGGTGAAAAAATAATGAACTTCATGCAAATTATGGCGGTAACCTACAGATAGAACTTAAAGTGCTACTGCTCGTGCTGCGCCCGCTCTCTCCCTCGTCGTCAGAGTCATCAATGGTAATGCACTCCACCTCTTTGGCAGGCTTTTTCACAGGTGAAACTGGCGTGTCTTTATCGTCTTCCTCAGACTTTCGCTTAGCCGAGCCTGAAGCTAGGGGGAATGAAGATGTCAATTGGTTGAAAACCCCTAGTAATAATTAAAACATACAGCTGGGAGTCAGATTACCAAAATTAGGAGCAGAGTTGCCTGGAACACTTGCGTTGTCCTGAATGTACTTGTACTGGCCGTCAGGATAGATTTCCGCTTCTTCGCAATTCGGCGGTGATGACTGGAGGATTTCCATGAAGTAACTACAAACAGGCAAGAGACGTTTAGCTAAAAATGCACATAAAATGATTTTGCAAATCACTTACCCATCAACAATCAAATCATCAAACTTGATAAAAATCTTGCAATGTGGACACTTCCACCGAGGAGTAATCTCATTCATTTCGATGAAGGTCTTGGCTTCAAAACAGTGCACGTGATCACACGCAATTGATCTCGCAGGCAGGCTGATTCGAGTTGAAGTGATCTGCAAATAAAAAGGTACAGTGTCAAAAACAGATTCAAATTACTCTGTAAAAAGAAAACAAACCGGACAAAGGAGCGAGACTTTAATCAGATTTTCATTTTCTACGATGGCAATCTCATCTTCATTATCACCAGGGTTAAGCTTCCTTTTGACTTGATGATAAAAGTTTCAGTTAGACAACTGTCAATGTTTTAGAAAGTGTATCAACTTACCAAGATCAATGGAAACCTGGCGATCGATTGGCTTCTTGAACTTGTTTCTGAAAGTTTCAAATAACATTTTATGGTCCATCTTCTTCACAAGAAAGAGTCCATAGTAAAACTCGTCCTGGCTTTCGTTAGCATTCAGGTCAATAGAGATTCGAAGATGGACA